TTTGCATTTGCCATAGAGAACAAAACTGCTGATGGAAATATTTTTCAATTTTATTGCAGGCACAGATGATATCCTTAGAGAGGGAAAGTAGGTCTCATCCCAGCCCCAGAGGGATCGCAGTTATATTTGAAGTACTGTGAAATGTTCAGGGCTTTGTCTTTGTGATTCTCATTGGAGTCACTAAGAGTGGTTGCTGATGTCCCAGGCAGGGCTTAGAGAATTAAACCATGGTATCATGAGACTCAAGATTTTCTGTGCAAGACTTAGAAGCAAGAAGAAGCTTCTGTTTGGCTACTTAATTCACTGGTTAGCTGAAGATTTAACTAGCACATTGCTATCTCAGCACTTAAATTGATAACCTTGGGGAATACTTAGTTGGTCCTTTTTATGTCTCTTCCCCACACTCCTATCATCCCCACTAAATTGTCAGGAATAAGAATGCATTAAAACAAATACATATCAGACACTCAATTCTACATACTCTGTTGTTTTGCATTCTTCAAATTCCCACTCCACTCCAGAATGACTCCATTTTAGTTAGGTGATAGGTAAAGTATGTAAGAAGTGTTCCAGGCATTGCTAATCCTAGTCTAATCTGGTTTATTACCTTTCCATAAACTTGACCCTTTTCATCTTCTAGTGGTTGAAATATTAAGACACAGTTATTACAATGCTCAACAAAGTATAAAGTGCTCATGTCACAAAATAAAAGCAAAAGCTTACTGTAAGAAAGAAATGTTCATTTTAGCTGTCCTGAGAATTAGGAAAGATAGGCACTGACTAGTAAAGATATAATAGAAAAGAAGCCCCATGAAGATGAAAAAGCCATTATCTCTTAGATCATTTCACCTCTCTGCAAGTACAATATTGTACTTTCTCCTCTGAGGATGCAATTTAAACTGATAGTGAATCACAGAACTCCTTTGCAGCCCTTCCTTAGGCAGGCAGCTCCTCAATGCAGTTGGATCCTAATGAACTTTTGTTGTGAGTGCAAAAATATCAGGATTGAAGTCAGGTGCTCTTCAATTAAAGATGTATCTAGGAAGGTGGGAAGAAGTAGGAATTTTGACAGCCATTTCAGCAGTGCTATCAAAATTGAACTGCTTTGCAAAACTACATCCATCTTGGTTTTGAACCTCATTAAAAAGAGAACCAGTATTGAGGGAGAGTAGGGATATATCTGAGGAAAGGAGAAAAGTGTAAAAAAATACCGGAATGATGTGTTTGGTCATCATTAGAACTGTTCTGAGTTTTCATTTTGAAATGAGGTCTTTGTTTCCATTTTTAACTTGGAAAATATAGAAGAAAATGTCTGAGAGTTGAAATCTAATTAATTGCTTAAGAAAAAGAATCTTGATGGGAAATTTCAGTTTCAAATCTGAAATTATCGTAGTCATTTGTGAAATTTGAGCTTTCATCCCTCTCATAGCCCTACTGAGCAGGTACACTCTTTCAGTGTTTGGAATAAAATAATTTTGCAATCAATGGATTAAAATGTAAACCTGGACATATATGTTTACCACAGCACCATAATCACTTGAAAAGCAAACTTGTTGCTGCAGGATTGGATTCATCTAGCAAAAGAGGGAGGAAAAAAATATTCTGAACTTACAGATGTTTTTCCCAGCGGAGTGATGACTCTTATGTAAATAATCACTTTATTTTGCAAGTGCATAGACTTCCATTCCACAAATTGATTTCACCTTTCCTGCCCTTTAGCTTCTGCTAAATCTAGCAAGTCTCATTATTCTGTTTTTAAATATCAAAGCTTTAAACATCCAGGGCAGAGTTATGTAGGAACCTCATTGTTTTTGAGTGACATCTTGAAACCTCCAAGGTTGGTATCAAATAAAAATTTTGGTTGGATAGCACTGTGAATGGCAGATGCAGTTTATCAGTAATATGGAAGGAATGCAGCTTTTTAACATCATCTTCTGTGGTCAGGTAATGAGTGAGAAAAAAATAGACATACAATAAACATCAGAAATGATGGAGCAGTCTGGTAAATAAGTTCTTTTGCTGCAATACAACTATTTTCCAGTTACACATGAAACATGCAGTGTGTCATTGTTTGCTCCACCTCTGTTCATGGCAAACCACATTTCCAGGGCTCTGCAACTCTGGCACTAAAATTCATGCTCAGGGAGCAGAGCAGGGGACACTCAGTGTGGTGTGCCCAGGGACACTCGGTGTGCTGTGCCCAGGGACACTCACTCAGTGTGCTGTGCCCAGGGACACTCAGTGTGGTGTGCCCAGGGACACTCAGTGTGGTGTGCCCAGGGACACTCACTCAGTGTGCTGTGCCCAGGGACACTCAGTGTGGTGTGCCCAGGGACACTCGGTGTGCTGTGCCCAGGGACACTCACTCAGTGTGCTGTGCCCAGGGACACTCAGTGTGGTGTGCCCAGGGACACTCAGTGTGCTATGCCCAGGGACACTCACTCAGTGTGGTGTGCCCAGGGACACTCAGTGTGGTGTGCCCAGGGACACTCAGTGGGGTGTGCCCAGGGACACTCGGTGTGCTGTGCCCAGGGACACTCAGTGGGGTATGCCCAGGGGCACTCAGTGTGGCATGCCCAGGGACACTCAGTGTGCTATGCCCAGGGACACTCAGTGTGCTGTGCCCAGGGATACTCACTCAGTGTGCTGTGCCCAGGGATACTCACTCAGTGTGCTGTGCCCAGGGATACTCACTCAGTGTGGTGTGCCCAGGGACACTCAGTGGGGTATGCCCAGGGACACTCAGTGTGCTGTGCCCAGGCCCACCCATGTCACTTCACAGAAATAACTGAGTGTACTTGGAAATTACACCACTGGAAAGAAGATCAGAATCTTCCCCTAAATCTTTCTCTGTTCATAAATTGTCACTGTCAGTTTTCAGCAACTCTGTGTTATGAGCTGCAGTTGTTGGTTTTTTTCTCTTTTTTGCTGTCTTTAATGATACATGTGCATGTCTCATGAATATGATTTATTGTTTCTCTTTGTAAGCTAAAGTAGTTGGAGGAAGGGTATGGCACTTATTCCTGAGGGAAGATCAGTTAGTAACTTGCCTGAGGAAAGTTTGTTCTAGGCAGTTAGTGATTAGTTTTTGTTCCTAGAACTTGAAAGTATATCTTTTTCAGATAATTATGTCTTAGAGCGTATATTGTGATATATTTCAACTATGAGTATGAATATTAGTGCCTTCAACGATTTTCTACCCTGTTGTTTCAGGAATACTTTGTCAGTGAATTTCACAGGTTAATTACATATTGTTTAACAAAATGCCAGTTTTCACTGTCTCCTCAGACTGTTCATTTTCACACTATCTGGTTGTGAGTAGGCATCTATTACACTGGCTTTGTTTTCAGCTCTCAAAGTAGCAAGAGTTCTATACCTTCTATGTGGAAATCTTCTAGTTCCTGTAAGGATTGCTCCTTTCTCCTAGATGGTCTTTTTTTGTTTGTTTACTCCTGTTTACAGAAAAATGTGTGTGGCAGCAAAAGCTGAACACAGAGCTCAGCGTGAAGCTCGGTACTGGTGCAGGGGTTGCCACTGTGGATGAGCCCAGTTTTTGTCTAGCTCAGCTTTCCCTCTGATAGATGCCATTGCTAAGTGTTTCAGAGGAAAGTGCAACACAGCCCTCAGGAAGGAAATAATGAACCTAACAGAGAAGGTCTCTCCCTATCAGTCTTTTAAGCTGTGCCTTGAAAAATGAGAATCTATATGTTTATTTATTATACACAGTCTAAAGCTGCTCTTGGGGGTTTTGTTGTAACCATAACTATCTCATCCTTTCTGACATCCTGCTATTCTCATAGTCTCAATGCTGTTTTGTGACAATGAGTTTCACCTCAGGTTAATCAAGTACTCTGGGAAAAGATGTTTGCCTTTATCAATTTTATATGTGTTGTCTTCAATTTCACTTAATGTCCACAAGTGTAGCTTTATTTCCCTTTTTCTAGCTTTCATTATTTTCTAAGCCTCTGTATTCCATTATTCATTTCCTGTCTAAAGCAAACAGTGCCAAATGTCTCAGTCATCTCTACTTGATTTGTAAGCTTTTAAGTATTTTTATTTCATATTTGTCCCTGTCCTAATTTTGCAATGTACTTTTTAAAGATTAGAATTCGAGGCATCACCCTGATCTGTGGGTTGGCAATGGGATATTACTTGTAAAATTCTGATTCTTTTGACTATTTTTGCATTTTTCATTTCATTTTCTCTGGTGATCCCATGTGTGTTGGAAAGATTTCAGTGGAATGTTCAGCACTATGCAGATTTGTACAACACCTCCCACAAATACATCTTCACTTACCTGAGCATCCTACAAGTGCTTCAGTTAGCAGTTGTGACTGTGCTTTCTTGGTTTTTTACCAATGAAAGGGCAAACTCTGTGTTTTGGAAGCATTTTAGTGTGGTTTATCTTTGGTTTCTAAATGATGAAGTATGTGTCAAATACAGGTGAAAGGCATTTAGAGTAGCTAATTCAGTAGTGTTCTGCTCCTTGTGAAACTAAATTGTCTGAAATGAAGCCCATGTTTCCTCCTGCAGAGATGTTTAAATCATTGCAGTTGCTCTACAGTTGAAACTATTAAATAATAATCTTTTAAGGAGCTGATCTTGAGATGCCTCAGCACTGAAGCTTAGCCTCTGCATTTTAAAACACCACTAAGTCCCTTTTCCCAGTGCGCTGCCCAAACCTGAATTTATCCAGTTGTGGCTGATTCTCATCTATGAAAATGCAGTTTGTCACAAGGTATTGGAAAACAGATGATCTCCCAAGTCAGAGGCTGCTTCCATAACTGGTGGGTTTTCATCACTCAGAGAAACTTTCTCAAACTATTTCTCACGTATAAGACCTTTGTAAAGGAGGATGTGGAGAAAGCGCAATGATTGATAGAAAAAGTCTAGGCTATGCTGAACTTTCACTCCTGATGGAGCAGCATTTTGGCAAGAAATTAGAGCTGAAAAATAGAAGTCCAAATTGCTCATCTTTTATTCTTTTTTTTGATCCCCAGATCTAAGCGTCCAGTGCCAGTTTCAACCACAGCTCCCAGAATTGACTCTCCCCGGGCTGTAATCCCCCACCAGAAGGTAAGTGGCATATTCTCAGCCAAAATGAACACCATTTTTATCTGCTGCAGTGAAGGTAAATACCTACTACAGGAAACAGCTTCTCCCTGCCCCAAATAAGTAAGCACTGAATGAATGCAGAGGCAGCAAACTGCTGCAATGCAATTAGTGATCTGTATTTTCCTAATTTTTGATTTGCAGGACCAAACCCTCCAGCCAGCCTCTGATGTGATTTTGTCTAACCCATTCTGAGCAGCTTGTTTTCCTCTAGGCTGCAAGAGGCTACTAAAGCTTCTCAAAACATACATTAGCTTTTGTAGATTATTGGGGGAAAACCATTAGCCTGTACCTCAGTCTCTCCAAATCCTGACTAGAACTGAACAGACACTGACTTGGAAAGAGGACATGAGGCCTTTTGAAAGCTTACATCATACTGCTCTCTTGTCACAGCACTCAAGAAATGAGAATAAAAAAATAAAGAGGATAAGTCAATGTAATGAATAACAGCCAGTGGCAGAGGAAATGGATGGCTTGGTTTCTGTTGTCAAAGCTCATCATCTTTCATAAAATAAACATTCATTTTAGAACAAACAGCATTAGTTGACTGTACCTGGCAACTCATCTTCTGTATCTTTGGAGGCACTGAGGAGCAAGGATACCTGAAAGATGGTGTATATCCTTAGGCTCAAGCCCTGGGTAGGATATTAGGATGTTTGTATTGCTGACACGTTTCATTAGCTAAAAGGAGAGGAGGTAAAATCTCCATTGCTGCAACTTATCCCTTCTGTCAGTGCCAGTTTCATCTCTACCATGCACTAAAAAAATAAGAAGCAAAAGATAAAAACACATGGGGAATTAGATGATGTTCTACTGGTTTTGGCAGTTCTGACATCCACAGATCAATTTTAAGTAATTTTTATAAACACTATGCCTTCCAAATTCAGAGCAGAAGGTAACATCATCCCTGAAGCTGCTTCAAATAGGTTCAAACTAACAGAGGAGAATGCACTTGGGGAGAATCATTTGATTCAATTTTATTTTGTGAAATTTTAAATGAACCTGACTGTCCATTTATTAGTTGAGACAAAAATAATGTTGTTTCAGACTGGATCTTGTAAACTTTTTGGCAAGGGATGATGAAATTAAAGATTTATCCTGCTCAGAGTTGTTTCTGCTTATATCATGATTTTATAAAAGTTATCTTGGAGAAAGTTACTGGAAGAGTCACCAAACAGTATTGTGAAATTGCTGTAACAAAAGCCATGGATCATTTTTTTAGTTAGACTGGTGTTTGACTGCACCAGCAAAGTAATAGGGACAGGAAGGGGAGATATTTCTTATTTCCCCTCAAGAATTACACAGAATGCTTTAATTTTCAAGGCAGAGGGTAGATATGTCTCTTCAGAATTACTCACAAACACAAGACTGACAGCCACCTTTTGAGACTCTCTTTGGCACCTGCACAGGTAGGAAACATTTGTCTGCTTCCACCACAGTCACACAGAGCTTTTATATATGGGATTTTCATGACTCTGTGACTCTGCATTTCTTCCTTGTCAAGTGTCAATTTTAAAATTACTGCCATAGGTATTCAAACCTGTTTATCACACAAAACATTTTCCTCCCTTAACTATCTACCATATAAAAAAGTTAACTCTTTGCACTGTAGGGTTTTCTTAAAGGTCCTAAAAGAGCCTTTGGCATGAAAACCATAAGGATATTTTATATTTTCTATCCTAACCCTTCAGAGAGAGGTGAGGATCAAAGGACTCCACCCATTTTCAGGAGCTTGCTGTCTCAGATTTTGAGAATTCTGTGTATTGGTGCTTAGGAAATGTTTATAGGAGCTGTTCTGAACGGGCTGCAGATAGTGCTGCCAGCTGGAAAAGAGTTACTGAAACCTTTCTGGAGGAAAAGGGTGGCATCCAGGATAAGGTATGGTGGGAAACAGTCTATTCAGAAGTATCTTAGGTGTAGGGTCTTTGGCCCAGAGGGAAGTGGTACCAGTAGAGTGCTGGAGTGGGAACCCTTTGTAGATCAAGAGGAGGGACATTTATGCCACTGGTCTACACTAGTAGACAACAGCAATTTTTAAGTGAAGAAGAATTCTTCTCTGGAGGTAGTTTGGAAGGGAATGAAGGCATTGAACCATCAGAGAAGCCTCAAAATCCAGAATAAAAATTCTTTACTGATAAACAATGGTGTGGTGATGTTGCAGTAAGGTATGGTACAGTAAATATACTTTAAAATTCAAGATTTCTTTGCTTGTCCCTTTATTATTTCTAGTAACAGTATCATTGTAGAAATGAGGAATTCTGTGACACATAGAGAGAAGCTGTCACCTCCACATCACTGCTTGACAGTGTTTAGACTGATGGCTCACATGAAGTGAATTTGACTGTATTTCAAAAAAAAAAACCAGCAAAAAACTGCATTACAAGACAGTCGTGACAGTGTCATCCTCAAACATCAAGAGAAGTTTTTCTCACCCTTCTCTGGCTAAGGTTAAGGCATGTCAGTGTGAGCTAAACAATCTGCATGTGCAAGTTCAGTGTCTAGTTTAAACCTGAAATTCTCTTGTACATAATGCTGATCTGATTGCAGCTTCCACTAACTTTCAAGCATGCATTTCTTCTTCGAGTACTGTGGTCTTGGGATTTTTGTGTTTTAGGAAAATAGGCATACATTCTGTCACAAAGGTCAGTCATTCTTTCACAAAGCTGATCAATGCTATGGATGATAAAGGTTCTGCAACCATAAATAAGGCACCAACTGAGCTGTAGAGCTATTATTGGAAATACACAATTGATTTATTTGCACTATATCCTTATCTGACACTAATCTCAAACTGAAAACAATGCTCATTTAGTTTAGTCAGTCTTTCTTAATTAGTCAAAAGATTTAGTAGTCTTTTGTGCAGGTGTAGCACAGTTAGAAGGACAAAGTTAATGTTGAAAGCATTCAAATAACAATAAGCATAAACATGAGTCCAAGGACTGAAACTAAGCCATCATCAGTCAGAGTTCCTGCAGCTCTTCAGGGGTGACACAACACAGGTGAAGATTCAGCTCAGTGCAGTTCAAAACATTCACAGCTTTAACATTTGTCCCTTTGCATGAAGGTATTGACAGCCTCTTTAACAGTGTGACTGTGATGTTTATGAAATAGTGCTTTTGGAGTCCCAGTGAGGATCTTGTAATACTCATGATTTTTTTCTGCCAAATTTGGGAACCTATATGGCTAAGAGAAAATAGAAGAAGAGATGACTGACATTTTAAGTAAAGCATAGGATGGAAGAGCTGGCTCAGCCAAAAGCAGTTTGTTGGATATCCTTGAGCAGAGTCATTTGGTGTCTCCATTACCTTCTTTCTATAAAATGTTTAAAAGCAACAACTGCTTCTGGGACATGTTGGGTGGTCAAATTCATTAGTATACTGTTAAAATTGTTCTCCCAGAAGTGCAAAAGGTGAAGAACTGTCGAGTCATAGCAATAGATAAATAGATAAATAGATAAATAGATAAATAGATAAATAGATAAATAGATAAATAGATAAATAGATAAATAGAGAATGAGCTGTCAGAGGAAGAGGATCTGCAAAACTTGGTATCATGTCTTCCAATATAAATTTGTTTCTTGCTTCTCTGATCCCTAATGAGTTTTTGCCTTTCACAGAAACTGGATGTTTATAAAAAGAAATATAATAATAATATTTCAGAATGAAACTCCTCTACATTTATCAGGTTTAAGCTCATTCGCTGACATGACGCTGGGAAATTAAAACGCACTTTTCCTCTTGTGGCGAGGGATCACTGCCCGATCCCGGCATCTTTCTCGAGGGAAGGCCATTGCTTAGTGTCAGAGCCTCCTCTTCTGGTGGCTGCAGGGGTAGCAGCAGACTGGCGGAGTTGGGAATGTCAGCTTGCCTTTCCAGACACGGAAACTGAAACGGAGCGGGATGAGAGACGGGAAACGGGGAACGTTTGTGACTGCATTCCAGGTTTGGCTGCATTCCATGCGATGCGCTGCCCAAAGCTGGGCTGCTGCTCACTGTTAGAAATTTGCCCCTCGCAGACAGAAATGGTTTCAGAAATGCTGCATTGATCTGGTTTTGCCATTGGACAGGGGGAAAAAAATTCAAAAATACCCTACCAGGAATAAGCTGAATGAGGGATTCTTTGTCAAACACAAAAGGAAAGAGCTAAATATGCTGATGATTGGGCAGTTAATTCCTTAGAAGAAGTTATACAGCTGCTCTCTGATGCACTTCCTCAAAATGGAGAATGCAAACCTGGCACTGCTGGGTTCTTAGGAATTCTAGTGTTGGGTTCCCATCATGCTGGTGTTCCAGCTAGTAATTGTTTGAGGAGTGAAACCAAAATTCCATCCACATCATAAAGGTGAGCAAAATTATCAACCATCATTTTTATGGCTATCCTATAATTTTCCCTTTGCCTACTGTTACTGTCCAGTAACACAAAAACTTTGAAAATGCATTAGGATTAAAAAAAATCTGACATTTCTCTCATTAACAATTGCAACTGATACTTTTTGATCAGCTCTCCTTGCATGTCCTTTTTATTTTGAGGTTTAAAAAGGAAACCCACAGTTAACAAAGTCACAGAGTTTTCAGGGTAACAAACAAATATAACTAGGATATCCTTTTTCTTCTCTCTTGCCTCTATACTTATTTTCTCTTTAATAATTGTTTTGTGTCTCTCTGCTGGCATGTAAAACTCATTTGCACAAGTGATGACTTAATTTTTGAACGAGGCCTTGTGCATTTGTGCTTCTTTTTCAACACATTTTTATAGACAACCTCTGTTTTCTGTTTATTTAATGATATCTCAAAGCTTGCAACAAGCCACTGAGAGGGAGGCTGTTTGCTGTTTTCAGTGTCAGTTTATAGTGACCAAAGTATGTATTTCAAATGTAGTTATTTAAAAAGGCATAGTCTGAAAAATGCTTTTAGGATTATCTGTTCCTACAGCCTCAGGCAGCTATTAATGCCAGCTAAAATCTC